CAATGTCCTTGAGTTAGCGTGCAACTCGCTTGGAGAGCTTTCAGTCGTGCAACCGCGGCGCATGCGTCTGCCTAGTCGCTTTGTGAACTGCAAATGCAATGCACGGCCTCGAGCACCTCGCGACCCACATCAGGATCCCAACGAGCGACTGTAACGCGTTTATCGTCGCATCGCCGCTTGCGCTCGTAGTAGGAAGCAGTATGGCGTCGTCGCCTACCACCTCGTAGCAGTCGTCTCCAATCGGCATCTTTTCTGGGTTCGTATCGCTCATCTCATGTTCACGCAAGAGCTCCTTGATGACCACCTTCTGGTCGATATGGTACGCGCCATCGCCCTCAAGCTCCACTCTCATCCCCAGGAACTTGTGGAAGTGGCCGAGATCCTTGATCGATAGCGACTTTAGGCCCGCGAAGAAACTAACGACCGCCGCGACGCTCGTTCCCGTCGCCAGCAAATCGTCAACATAAACGCCGACAACGACCAGCTATATTCCATCACGCTTGTGATACCGACACATATCTTACACGCATCGCATTTACCCTGCGTCGCTTAGTCGCTGATGAAGCAACTACTCTAAGAAGTGCCCGGTTTGCTTTAACCCCGTACAGTCTCCTCCGCAGTTTCAATACGACTTCTCCTGGCAGCGTAGCGCCGATCCTTCAGAGTGATCCCCGACACGGTTATACCGCGTGGCACCTGCAAGCAGATGTCGAGGTGTGCTTACTTTTCGGCACGCACATATGCGTTCGGAATATCTCCGTGCTTCGTCAGCACTCCCCACATTGCCTCGAGCGGCAGCACGACCTTTTCCGTCTAGATAACCATCACAGCAGCAAATGTCAGGTTGTGATAGACGTCTAGTGCTTGATCATTCCCGCATGCGACAAGCCTTGCCTTGTACCGCTCGATCTCTCCGTCGGCTACCGTCTTGGTCTTAACGACCCATATGGACAGGAGAGCGTTTGCGCCCGGACTGCGCTTCGTCACGCGCCACACGTCGTTCTTTTCGAGCGCGGCGATCTCCTCTTTCATCGCGGTCTGCCACTCCGCGCGCCTCGAGCTACGCATGGCCTCGCCATAGTTGCATGGATCTCGCTCGAAGACTTCGCTGACCACCTCGTTCCTCGGAAGTCTCTCTTCCGGCGAGAGACTGCTTGCTTGCGCTTCGATGAGCCGCGCTTTCCGTGCGCCTATCGCGCCCACGGCTTATCACCCTTCCCGCGAGCACCGAGACCCTATCGCGCTCTTTCACTGTCGTCACGGGTCTCCATCGCCACCCCTGCTTCTGGCGCTGCCTCTTCCGCTCCGTCGGCTCAATAACTGACTTTTATCGATCGCCGCAGTTGCGCATTCAGTGCATCAGACAGCGTTGATATGTTCTTCATGAGTTGCGTGACGACCACCTTGTTTTCTCGCTGAAGAAGGACCTTGTGCCCCTTTGTCTCCTCACTCAATCTCACTATAACACCTATCTGCGGTCACTGCTTGAGCGAGCTCTTGAGTGAATTGTGGTAGACGTTACACGACGATCCGAAAACGACGATGCTGCGCAGACCCGAGGCCTTTCCCGGTAGTACCTTGATGGGCGACGCTTTATTCGCGTTCGCTCACGTCGGACTGCGGTTTAAGATGTGAACCGCGTACTGTACCGCGTCGCCCAAAAAGTACAACGGCAGCGCGCACGCGAGCATCATGCTGCGCCTAGGTTTAGCATCGTTCGTTGCATCCTCTCTGCCGTGACTTTCAATGTCTGGTTGCGTGATTCTGACACTTGGCGCGTGACACCCGTGCGCTTGTAGAAAATGTCGACATTGGCGTATTCGCCACCACCGTCTGTCCGAAGCACGTGGACCTTGAAACCGGATAGCTTCTCAAAATGGACGAGGAACGCCTCAAACTGCTTCTCCACCACATCATTCGTGCCTGCAAGGAACACGCGGCAGTAGTTTGACTTCTGGTCTATAAAGTTAACCAGATATCGATTGTCAAGGCGATCCTGAGGAGTCATTGTGCACTTAAGGTCGAAGCAGATGACGCCGATTATCCTGTCGATTGGCGAGTTGGCGCCGCTGTCTTGCTGCGACTGCGAGTTGCGCGTCTACGTATTCATGAGGCATGACACGCACGTTATGCTCTTGTTGTTGGTCAATCAGATGCCCGACGCCAAATAATGCGCTATACGCTCGATCGTATCAAACGCAAGGCGACCGAGTCGATGATGCCAATGCAGCAGCGAGGCTTCGTGTATGCCTTCCGCATCAGCATCCGTTGCACGTGTTTCGATCGCGGCCATGATCGCATCTCCAGCGCTGTGCCTTCCGCGTGTCGCTGTTATCTAAACGTACAATACGTTGCTGCCGATCGTGACGTCGAATGCGACTGTACCGTCGATGCGCCGCGCTAGCGCGTGTTTGTTACCATCGTACACGAGGTAAAAACCTTTGTTTTCCAGCTTTCCGGACAAGACGATGTTCTTCTCCAGACTCGGCGCAAAATGGATTTAAGTCAGCGTCACAGTCATCTTCACACCACGCGCGAGGACCTCGAGGCTTACGCTTCCGACACGCGCGCCAGTCGCTACGACTCACCATCTGCCATGACAATCTCGTGAGCGCAAGCAGTTGAGTCGATCAACATCGACTCATCGTTCACATGGTGTCTGCTTGCACTGCTGTAGAGGATCCATTCACCTCGATCGATGCCAACTCCATTGTTTGCGGCCATCACGAAAGCGCCCGCGTATGTCGCAGCTCGCGATTTTTCTCTCGCGCGGCTCGCACGAGCCGCCATGTTTCGCAAGGCTTTCTTCTCCTTCTTGCTTTCAGCTCCTTTTGTGCGACATTTTGACGATTTCTCCGTGAGCGCAAGCACCATGTCGCCGCTGCTACTCGTGTTGCTCGTCTCGTCATCGAAAACGATTATTGCCTTGCAGTCGGACACGACATGCCCCGCCCCCCCGTAGCGGAAACACGTTCGCGTGTCTTGACGCTTCGTATCAACATGCGCTGCAACAACCTCGCGACCGACTGTTCCGCTGCAGAGCTCTATCGACTGCGCAAAGTGCGCCAACCTCTCAGCGTGGCGCAGGTAGTCGGACCACGTCAGGTCTTACGTCGCCCGCATGACATTCATCGTATCCGGCGACGCGTGGTGCACGGTGTTGTCGGGTACAAGCGATCCGCGCCACCGCGCGCGTCACTGAAGGCCACCATATAAGGAAAGTGCTCGTCCCAGGTGCCTCGCGGTTCTTTCTTTGTCATGAACAGCTTCATGGCTTGGCCGCCACGATCGTCGTCTTGAACGTCAGGTGCAGCTGCTTCATGAAGTGCTCGAGTCCCGGCTGCTAAACCCACCAAGTCCCGACCTGTTAATGATAGTACAGCTCCGCAGTACCAACTGAAAAAGGTCGAGGAGGTCAACATTCACTTCCTCCGTCCACGAAAAACCGCACGAAGCCTCAGCAAGGTTCACGGCGCGCATTAAGGTGCGTTCCCAATCAAAGAACCCGCTTCGATCCCTTTGTAGAGTTCCGTACCATCAAACTTGCGAATGTTGAGCTTTCGCTTGACTCGCAGTTGGCATTCCGTAGTTGCCGATCGCTTCCGCCATGTGCGTGGCAGGTAGCGGCAGCTCTTGACGCGGCGCGGCCATGCGATAGTCTGCTCATGCCTGCATGCGATGCTGAGCTGACGGCTTTCCACGTGGCGACGTGAGCGAGGCGAACATTGATTCGCCTTCATCTGGTCAGCGCGCGCGGGGGTGATGCTGGTTTCGTTTCTCTTTCAGCGACCCAAGTGCGTCTATGGTCATGGAGCGTCCACGCATGTTCGCCCCAATCTTGGAAGCAAACATGCCTCTCGACATCTCCAATAATCCTCTCGTCTTCGTCCCGGACGCGCTGCGAAGACTCGAGCTTCGACAGGCGGTCGGTCAGTGCGGCGAGGGCCGCAAGACTTCATCGGTCGTCTCGATCCTTTCGCGAGCGGGCGGTTCTTCGCTGACGGCGGGTTCGCCGACGAGGGCACACGCGCTGGCGAGCCACGCCCTGGCGCAGCTCGCGCGACACCTCCTGGTGTCTTGACAGTCGCTTCATTTTCTATAGTTATTGGGCTCATAACCTGTTGGCAAGTATGTTTATTTGCAGTAGAAACACGACATGATTCTGTATTCAAGCTTTATGTCTCCTCTTTTACCGCGCTCTTCTATAAAGCCGTCCTCACCACTCATCTTGCCAAGCAGCTGTCCTGCTCTCTTCCCATCTAACGGATGACGCTAATCGACACAGCGCGCCGAATCTACGGCCCACCTAATGGTACATCCCTTGCTTTCCTACAGATCGGGCGCCTCGCAGTTCATCCAAAGTGATTTGTGGATAGGCAACATCGACATGTCGTCTACTGATGTGCTGCTTGGTTGTCGTACGAATTCAACGACCGCGACCTTAGCCGACGTCGTGCGCCAAGATGGTGCATTCTTGATTAATAGGTTGCTGTCGTTGCCGCCTGTCTATCTTGCTTTACGTGTGTCGGAACTGACTACTGCCTGCCATCGTCTCTCGATTCATACTTATGATACAAGTTTTGGAATGCCAAACATGGCTAGACGACATCAAAACGGCACGTAGAGTATGTTGTCATCTTACGTCTTTGTCCTGGTCGCTGCGGGAGTAGCTTTGGATGTTACTTTTGGCGTAATGAACAGCACTTGCGCGCGTGGTTTGGATGCTATCGCATGCGAGGTGACAACTTGTACTGCTTTTTCGCACCTACATGCGCTGTAGCCAGAACTGCGGTATCGGAAAACGGCCACGAGAAGTGGTGCAGTAAGTAGCAGCTTGCAATTTCGTCTCCGCAACTGGGACGATAACGGCACGAGGCACACTGAAAAATATGTATTTCTATCATTCATAGCTGACAAGTGCATTATAAAAACAAAATGTGCATGGCATAGCTCGGCCTATCTTCCTCTCTCGGTAAGTCTTCTCGTCAACAGTGCTCCACTCAAAAGCCAATCTCGTAATTGCGCATCTGCTGCGGCTGTATCTCCGAGCCAAAAGACGGTGCCATCGACTGCTGCGAAGAAACCAGGTCGTACGACGATGATGACGACGACGAAGGGTGCACCGAAGAGCCTGGAGGCATCGACAGCGTCGCACCCGACTGGTTGTACCCGTTGTGATTCAGTCTGCTATCGTTGAGACCGCCGTTGAACTGGCTGGCCCACAAGTCTGACTCTGCATCCGTCTGTGGATCGTACTTGATCACAGATTCGCTGCGGCGCGACTCGTTGTTGGAATGTACCATCCACGCGCGGATATACGTGCTGAAAACAATGAGTTGGCGCACGAACCAGAACAGGATCACGGCCGAGTTGATGCCGACGTAAGCGTGGGCTACATGCGTGCGAGCTGTGGCCGACATGGTGTTCGAGTTCAGGAATGCGAAAGCCAGACCAAAGTTCAGAATCTTGAGCAGTCCCAGGGCATATGTGATGCGAAGCACCATTTGTTCCGCGAACGGTGACATGATGAAGACGCATGCGAGATACAGCGCTTGGATGCCTACGACTACTATGAGCTGAGTCGGATCACCTGCTGCGGAGCCCACGAGAATACCGGTCGTGATCTGGACCACCACGTCAATCACGAAAAACATCCGGCTGCGATAAGTGTACTCACAGTAGAGCGAGCCCCACGTAGCTAAATTCTCAAACTGCTCCAGCTCGTCCTTAGTCTTGTGCATGATCACACGCCCAGCAACAGCCAGCACGCCAAAACACACCACCACCAGTGCAATAATGGCCACCACGAGCGCGTCGGCGATTGCGGAAGCCTGAACTTGCATCGAAATTTCGAACGACGACAGCATGCTCAGCGGAAAAAGCGCAAAGTACCAAACCAACACACACAGTCCAAGTGCGCGAATGGACACGCTGCGGAGACGGTGTACACCAGAGGTGTAGTTGTTCAAGTCCGAGGAATCGTCCAGTGCCCGCTCCGCCTTACGCTTGGCCATCACAGCCAACACTAGGAAGACGACCAGAAGAACGGCCATGATCACGGCAAATCCAATGACGCTTTGCGTCAAAATGCTCCCCTCCGAGATACCGATACGATCAGCGTACGATACGACGCCACCCAGTACAATCGTTTCCAAACGACGAGACTCAATTGAGACACTGGAAGAGTCCTGGATCAAGTAGTTGCTCCACGCGAACGAATCCGTGTAATCCCACAAAAAGTACGGAGTCTTGAGAAGCGTTAGTTCCGACGCGGCCTGCATCTGCTGCAAGTAGCCGACGTAGAATAAGAACTCCCACGTGTTCGGGCTCCACGCAGCATTCACCCAAATCAAATTGGCATCCAGGGAGACAAAATGGAAGAACAGAAGCAGCGCCACCGAGATACCTGCAAACGCCACCGATGCGTAGCGCAAGAAATCATGGAATGCCGCGGCTGACGCTGATAGCGCCTCGCTGTCATCCGTGTCCACGTATGTATTACGTCCTCCAATCACGTTGGTACCTGCAGCACCGGCTTCGTCAGTGGCGGCCGTCTTGCCCCGGACGTAGGTCATCGCGTCCTCCAAACCGCCTTTACCCGTATTCCCCGCAATGTTCAGCACAACCGGCTTCTCAATCTCGGTAATCTCATCCGGGATAGCGAACGGATCATACGAACCACTTTTTACCGGTATGGGCGTGGCGGATTCATCATACATTATCACATCGGACCGGATTTGTTCGATCTGCTCCGCCACGTCTTGCTCCGACACGTCCTGCTCATCCACGTTATCCGGATTCGTCTCAATAGCAATTGGGGACTTAATCACTGCAGGCGTTTTTGGCACAAGTTCGGACGACGTAGGCGTTTCAACATTGTCATCTAAATCGCTCGGAGGCGCCGCCACTGGAGGCGGTGACTCCATATATTCGCTCATGGACAGGTCCGGCAAGTCGCTTTCACCACTCGTCTTAGACGGCTTCTCCGAAGATGGTTTCTCGATCACAGACGGAAAAGGCTCTATCGAAGGGGACTCCACAAGTGGTCGAACAAGGGAAGAAGTGTCAGGTGGTGTATCGTTCTCTGTCGGCGAAGTCTCAGTCTCCGGCTTCGGTATTTCAGAAGTCACCGGCGCCAATAGAACATTATCGGGAAGGGTGCTGGGGCCCGGCAGTGCGCCGTTCTCAGGACTCTCCGGCATCAGATCTCCATCGGGGGTTACAATCGTACTCGGCGTAGGTGGATACAAATTTGTGCTCAAGGGCCCATTTTCATTTCCAGTCGCGGGAGCAGGCCCCTGAGGGTCCGTCGTAGGAAAAACACTAGTCGACGGAGGTAGCGGCAACAACGATTCGGTCACGGAAGGCACGACCGGCAGAAGCGCATTCGGTGCAGGAGCCGGTGGCCCGTTCTGGTCATTCAATTCTTGCGGCGGCGGCGACGGCGTCAGGCCGGGCACGGGAGGCAAGACCGACGGTAGCAAGTTCGTTGCCGGCACGATCGGATCGGATGGTTGCTCTGCTGACGGCGATGACGGCAACAACGATTCGGTCACGGAAGGCACGACCGGCAGAAGCGCATTCGGTGCAGGAGCAGGTGGCCCGTTCTGGTCATTCAATTCTTGCGGCGGCGGCGACGGCGTCAGGCCGGGCACGGGAGGCAAGACCGACGGTAGCAAGTTCGTTGCCGGCACAATCGGATCGGATGGTTGCTCTGCTGACGGCGATGACGGCAACAACGATTCGGTCACGGAAGGCACGACCGGCAGAAGCGCATTCGGTGCAGGAGCCGGTGGCCCGTTCTGGTCATTCAATTCTTGCGGCGGCGGCGACGGCGTCAGGCCGGGCACGGGAGGCAAGACCGACGGTAGCAAGTTCGTTGCCGGCACAATCGGATCGGATGGTTGCTCTGCTGACGGCGATGACGGCAACAACGATTCGGTCACGGAAGGCACGACCGGCAGAAGCGCATTCGGTGCAGGAGCCGGTGGCCCGTTCTGGTCATTCAATTCTTGCGGCGGCGGCGACGGCGTCAGGCCGGGCACGGGAGGCAAGACCGACGGTAGCAAGTTCGTTGCCGGCACAATCGGATCGGATGGTTGCTCTGCTGACGGCGATGACGGCAACAACGATTCGGTCACGGAAGGCACGACCGGCAGAAGCGCATTCGGTGCAGGAGCCGGTGGCCCGTTCTGGTCATTCAATTCTTGCGGCGGCGGCGACGGCGTCAGGCCGGGCACGGGAGGCAAGACCGACGGTAGCAAGTTCGTTGCCGGCACAATCGGATCGGATGGTTGCTCTGCTGACGGCGATGACGGCAACAACGATTCGGTCACGGAAGGCACGACCGGCAGAAGCGCATTCGGTGCAGGAGCCGGTGGCCCGTTCTGGTCATTCAATTCTTGCGGCGGCGGCGACGGCGTCAGGCCGGGCACGGGAGGCAAGACCGACGGTAGCAAGTTCGTTGCCGGCACAATCGGATCGGATGGTTGCTCTGCTGACGGCGATGACGGCAACAACGATTCGGTCACGGAAGGCACGACCGGCAGAAGCGCATTCGGTGCAGGAGCCGGTGGCCCGTTCTGGTCATTCAATTCTTGCGGCGGCGGCGACGGCGTCAGGCCGGGCACGGGAGGCAAGACCGACGGTAGCAAGTTCGTTGCCGGCACAATCGGATCGGATGGTTGCTCTGCTGACGGCGATGACGGCAACAACGATTCGGTCACGGAAGGCACGACCGGCAGAAGCGCATTCGGTGCAGGAGCCGGTGGCCCGTTCTGGTCATTCAATTCTTGCGGCGGCGGCGACGGCGTCAGGCCGGGCACGGGAGGCAAGACCGACGGTAGCAAGTTCGTTGCCGGCACAATCGGATCGGATGGTTGCTCTGCTGACGGCGATGACGGCAACAACGATTCGGTCACGGAAGGCACGACCGGCAGAAGCGCATTCGGTGCAGGAGCCGGTGGCCCGTTCTGGTCATTCAATTCTTGCGGCGGCGGCGACGGCGTCAGGCCGGGCACGGGAGGCAAGACCGACGGTAGCAAGTTCGTTGCCGGCACAATCGGATCGGATGGTTGCTCTGCTGACGGCGATGACGGCAACAACGATTCGGTCACGGAAGGCACGACCGGCAGAAGCGCATTCGGTGCAGGAGCCGGTGGCCCGTTCTGGTCATTCAATTCTTGCGGCGGCGGCGACGGCGTCAGGCCGGGCACGGGAGGCAAGACCGACGGTAGCAAGTTCGTTGCCGGCACAATCGGATCGGATGGTTGCTCTGCTGACGGCGATGACGGCAACAACGATTCGGTCACGGAAGGCACGACCGGCAGAAGCGCATTCGGTGCAGGAGCCGGTGGCCCGTTCTGGTCATTCAATTCTTGCGGCGGCGGCGACGGCGTCAGGCCGGGCACGGGAGGCAAGACCGACGGTAGCAAGTTCGTTGCCGGCACAATCGGATCGGATGGTTGCTCTGCTGACGGCGATGACGGCAACAACGATTCGGTCACGGAAGGCACGACCGGCAGAAGCGCATTCGGTGCAGGAGCCGGTGGCCCGTTCTGGTCATTCAATTCTTGCGGCGGCGGCGACGGCGTCAGGCCGGGCACGGGAGGCAAGACCGACGGTAGCAAGTTCGTTGCCGGCACAATCGGATCGGATGGTTGCTCTGCTGACGGCGATGACGGCAACAACGATTCGGTCACGGAAGGCACGACCGGCAGAAGCGCATTCGGTGCAGGAGCCGGTGGCCCGTTCTGGTCATTCAATTCTTGCGGCGGCGGCGACGGCGTCAGGCCGGGCACGGGAGGCAAGACCGACGGTAGCAAGTTCGTTGCCGGCACAATCGGATCGGATGGTTGCTCTGCTGACGGCGATGACGGCAACAACGATTCGGTCACGGAAGGCACGACCGGCAGAAGCGCATTCGGTGCAGGAGCCGGTGGCCCGTTCTGGTCATTCAATTCTTGCGGCGGCGGCGACGGCGTCAGGCCGGGCACGGGAGGCAAGACCGACGGTAGCAAGTTCGTTGCCGGCACAATCGGATCGGATGGTTGCTCTGCTGACGGCGATGACGGCAACAACGATTCGGTCACGGAAGGCACGACCGGCAGAAGCGCATTCGGTGCAGGAGCCGGTGGCCCGTTCTGGTCATTCAATTCTTGCGGCGGCGGCGACGGCGTCAGGCCGGGCACGGGAGGCAAGACCGACGGTAGCAAGTTCGTTGCCGGCACAATCGGATCGGATGGTTGCTCTGCTGACGGCGATGACGGCAACAACGATTCGGTCACGGAAGGCACGACCGGCAGAAGCGCATTCGGTGCAGGAGCCGGTGGCCCGTTCTGGTCATTCAATTCTTGCGGCGGCGGCGACGGCGTCAGGCCGGGCACGGGAGGCAAGACCGACGGTAGCAAGTTCGTTGCCGGCACAATCGGATCGGATGGTTGCTCTGCTGACGGCGATGACGGCAACAACGATTCGGTCACGGAAGGCACGACCGGCAGAAGCGCATTCGGTGCAGGAGCCGGTGGCCCGTTCTGGTCATTCAATTCTTGCGGCGGCGGCGACGGCGTCAGGCCGGGCACGGGAGGCAAGACCGACGGTAGCAAGTTCGTTGCCGGCACAATCGGATCGGATGGTTGCTCTGCTGACGGCGATGACGGCAACAACGATTCGGTCACGGAAGGCACGACCGGCAGAAGCGCATTCGGTGCAGGAGCCGGTGGCCCGTTCTGGTCATTCAATTCTTGCGGCGGCGGCGACGGCGTCAGGCCGGGCACGGGAGGCAAGACCGACGGTAGCAAGTTCGTTGCCGGCACAATCGGATCGGATGGTTGCTCTGCTGACGGCGATGACGGCAACAACGATTCGGTCACGGAAGGCACGACCGGCAGAAGCGCATTCGGTGCAGGAGCCGGTGGCCCGTTCTGGTCATTCAATTCTTGCGGCGGCGGCGACGGCGTCAGGCCGGGCACGGGAGGCAAGACCGACGGTAGCAAGTTCGTTGCCGGCACAATCGGATCGGATGGTTGCTCTGCTGACGGCGATGACGGCAACAACGATTCGGTCACGGAAGGCACGACCGGCAGAAGCGCATTCGGTGCAGGAGCCGGTGGCCCGTTCTGGTCATTCAATTCTTGCGGCGGCGGCGACGGCGTCAGGCCGGGCACGGGAGGCAAGACCGACGGTAGCAAGTTCGTTGCCGGCACAATCGGATCGGATGGTTGCTCTGCTGACGGCGATGACGGCAACAACGATTCGGTCACGGAAGGCACGACCGGCAGAAGCGCATTCGGTGCAGGAGCCGGTGGCCCGTTCTGGTCATTCAATTCTTGCGGCGGCGGCGACGGCGTCAGGCCGGGCACGGGAGGCAAGACCGACGGTAGCAAGTTCGTTGCCGGCACAATCGGATCGGATGGTTGCTCTGCTGACGGCGATGACGGCAACAACGATTCGGTCACGGAAGGCACGACCGGCAGAAGCGCATTCGGTGCAGGAGCCGGTGGCCCGTTCTGGTCATCCAATTCTTGCGGCGGCGGCGACGGCGTCAGGCCGGGCACGGGAGGCAAGACCGACGGTAGCAAGTTCGTTGCCGGCACAATCGGATCGGATGGTTGCTCTGCTGACGGCGATGACGGCAACAACGATTCGGTCACGGAAGGCACGACCGGCAGAAGCGCATTCGGTGCAGGAGCCGGTGGCCCGTTCTGGTCATTCAATTCTTGCGGCGGCGGCGACGGCGTCAGGCCGGGCACGGGAGGCAAGACCGACGGTAGCAAGTTCGTTGCCGGCACAATCGGATCGGATGGTTGCTCTGCTGACGGCGATGACGGCAACAACGATTCGGTCACGGAAGGCACGACCGGCAGAAGCGCATTCGGTGCAGGAGCCGGTGGCCCGTTCTGGTCATTCAATTCTTGCGGCGGCGGCGACGGCGTCAGGCCGGGCACGGGAGGCAAGACCGACGGTAGCAAGTTCGTTGCCGGCACAATCGGATCGGATGGTTGCTCTGCTGACGGCGATGACGGCAACAACGATTCGGTCACGGAAGGCACGACCGGCAGAAGCGCATTCGGTGCAGGAGCCGGTGGCCCGTTCTGGTCATTCAATTCTTGCGGCGGCGGCGACGGCGTCAGGCCGGGCACGGGAGGCAAGACCGACGGTAGCAAGTTCGTTGCCGGCACAATCGGATCGGATGGTTGCTCTGCTGACGGCGATGACGGCAACAACGATTCGGTCACGGAAGGCACGACCGGCAGAAGCGCATTCGGTGCAGGAGCCGGTGGCCCGTTCTGGTCATTCAATTCTTGCGGCGGCGGCGACGGCGTCAGGCCGGGCACGGGAGGCAAGACCGACGGTAGCAAGTTCGTTGCCGGCACAATCGGATCGGATGGTTGCTCTGCTGACGGCGATGACGGCAACAACGATTCGGTCACGGAAGGCACGACCGGCAGAAGCGCATTCGGTGCAGGAGCCGGTGGCCCGTTCTGGTCATTCAATTCTTGCGGCGGCGGCGACGGCGTCAGGCCGGGCACGGGAGGCAAGACCGACGGTAGCAAGTTCGTTGCCGGCACAATCGGATCGGATGGTTGCTCTGCTGACGGCGATGACGGCAACAACGATTCGGTCACGGAAGGCACGACCGGCAGAAGCGCATTCGGTGCAGGAGCCGGTGGCCCGTTCTGGTCATCCAATTCTTGCGGCGGCGGCGACGGCGTCAGGCCGGGCACGGGAGGCAAGACCGACGGTAGCAAGTTCGTTGCCGGCACAATCGGATCGGATGGTTGCTCTGCTGACGGCGATGACGGCAACAACGATTCGGTCACGGAAGGCACGACCGGCAGAAGCGCATTCGGTGCAGGAGCCGGTGGCCCGTTCTGGTCATTCAATTCTTGCGGCGGCGGCGACGGCGTCAGGCCGGGCACGGGAGGCAAGACCGACGGTAGCAAGTTCGTTGCCGGCACAATCGGATCGGATGGTTGCTCTGCTGACGGCGATGACGGCAACAACGATTCGGTCACGGAAGGCACGACCGGCAGAAGCGCATTCGGTGCAGGAGCCGGTGGCCCGTTCTGGTCATTCAATTCTTGCGGCGGCGGCGACGGCGTCAGGCCGGGCACGGGAGGCAAGACCGACGGTAGCAAGTTCGTTGCCGGCACGATCGGATCGGATGGTTGCTCTGCTGACGGCGATGACGGCAACAACGATTCGGTCACGGAAGGCACGACCGGCAGAAGCGCATTCGGTGCAGGAGCAGGTGGCCCGTTCTGGTCATTCAATTCTTGCGGCGGCGGCGACGGCGTCAGGCCGGGCACGGGAGGCAAGACCGACGGTAGCAAGTTCGTTGCCGGCACAATCGGATCGGATGGTTGCTCTGCTGACGGCGATGACGGCAACAACGATTCGGTCACGGAAGGCACGACCGGCAGAAGCGCATTCGGTGCAGGAGCCGGTGGCCCGTTCTGGTCATTCAATTCTTGCGGCGGCGGCGACGGCGTCAGGCCGGGCACGGGAGGCAAGACCGACGGTAGCAAGTTCGTTGCCGGCACAATCGGATCGGATGGTTGCTCTGCTGACGGCGATGACGGCAACAACGATTCGGTCACGGAAGGCACGACCGGCAGAAGCGCATTCGGTGCAGGAGCCGGTGGCCCGTTCTGGTCATTCAATTCTTGCGGCGGCGACGACGGCGTCAGGCCGGGCACGGGAGGCAAGACCGACGGTAGCAAGTTCGTTGCCGGCACAATCGGATCGGATGGTTGCTCTGCTGACGGCGATGACGGCAACAACGATTCGGTCACGGAAGGCACGACCGGCAGAAGCGCATTCGGTGCAGGAGCCGGTGGCCCGTTCTGGTCATTCAATTCTTGCGGCGGCGGCGACGGCGTCAGGCCGGGCACGGGAGGCAAGACCGACGGGTAGCAAGTTCGTTGCCGGCACAATCGGATCGGATGGTTGCTCTGCTGACGGCGAGTGACGGCAACAACGATTCGGTCACGGAAGGCACGACCGGCAAAAGCGCATTCGGTGCAGGACCCGATGCTCCATTTTGGTCATTCAATTCCTGCGACGGCAGCAACGGCGTCAGGCCGGGAATGGAAGGCAAGACCGACGACGGTACTTCCGGCGCCGGAGGCGGTGGCGCATCCGCATCGGGTGGTCCCTCCACTGGTGGCGGAGGTGGCGGCAGCAACGATTCGGTCACGGAAGGCACGACCGGCAAAAGCGCATTCGGTGCAGGACCCGACGCTCCATTTTGGTCATTCGATTCCTGCGACGGCAGCAACGGCGTCAGGCCGGGAATGGAAGGCAAGACCGACGACGGTACTTCCGGCGCCGGAGGCGGTGGCGCATCCGCATCGGGTGGTCCCTCCACTGGTGGCGGAGGTGGCGGCAGCAACGATTCGGTCACGGAAGGCACGACCGGCAAAAGCGCATTCGGTGCAGGACCCGACGCTCCATTTTGGTCATTCAATTCCTGCGACGGCAGCAACGGCGTCAGGCCGGGAATGGAAGGCAAGACCGACGACGGTACTTCCGGCGCCGGAGGCGGTGGCGCATCCGCATCGGGTGGTCCCTCCACTGGTGGCGGAGGTGGCGGCAGCAACGATTCGGTCACGGAAGGCACGACCGGCAAAAGCGCATTCGGTGCAGGACCCGACGCTCCATTTTGGTCATTCAATTCCTGCGACGGCAGCAACGGCGTCAGGCCGGGAATGGAAGGCAAGACCGACGACGGTACTTCCGGCGCCGGAGGCGGTGGCGCATCCGCATCGGGTGGTCCCTCCACTGGTGGCGGAGGTGGCGGCAGCAACGATTCGGTCACGGAAGGCACGACCGGCAAAAGCGCATTCGGTGCAGGACCCGACGCTCCATTTTGGTCATTCAATTCCTGCGACGGCAGCAACGGCGTCAGGCCGGGAATGGAAGGCAAGACCGACGACGGTACTTCCGGCGCCGGAGGCGGTGGCGCATCCGCATCGGGTGGTCCCTCCACTGGTGGCGGAGGTGGCGGCAGCAACGATTCGGTCACGGAAGGCACGACCGGCAAAAGCGCATTCGGTGCAGGACCCGACGCTCCATTTTGGTCATTCGATTCCTGCGACGGCAGCAACGGCGTCAGGCCGGGAATGGAAGGCAAGACCGACGACGGTACTTCCGGCGCCGGAGGCGGTGGCGCATCCGCATCGGGTGGTCCCTCCACTGGTGGCGGAGGTGGCGGCAGCAACGATTCGGTCACGGAAGGCACGACCGGCAAAAGCGCATTCGGTGCAGGACCCGACGCTCCATTTTGGTCATTCAATTCCTGCGGCGACGGCGTCAGGCCAGGAATGGAAGGCAAGACCGACGACGGTACTTCCGGCGCCGGAGGTGGTGGCGCATCCGCATCGGGTGGTCCCTCCACTGGTGGCGGAGGTGGCGGCAGCAACGATTCGGTCACGGAAGGCACGACCGGCAAAAGCGCATTCGGTGCAGGACCCGACGCTCCATTTTGGTCATTCGATTCCTGTGACGGCAGCAACGGCGTCAGGCCGGGAATGGAAGGCAAGACCGACGACGGTACTTCCGGCGCCGGAGGCGGTGGCGCATCCGCATCGGGTGGTCCCTCCACTGGTGGCGGAGGTGGCGGCGGTAACGGGTTCGTCTCAGCAGACGAAACCGACGGCGGAGTCTCTGGGGCGGGAACCGGCGACTCGTTCGAGTGATGGGATTCCTCCGTCGCCAACAAAGACGCCGGCAACGCGTTCGTAACTGGCGCCAAGGCCGACGTTGGGGCCTCTGGCGCCGGCGGCTGGTCCGGTTGCGGCGGCTCCTCCGTCGGCGCGGGCGGTGGAGCCACGTCCGGCGTCGTACTTTGTGGCTCGTGCGCTGCTTCCAGGGGCTTCGTCAAGTGGTCCAGATCGGCGGCCGCGTTGAGGCCGAGCAGGAGCTTCCGCTCGGGCTGCTCTCTTGCTGCCCCTGCCGTCGAGGCCTGTGCACAAGCGGCGAGCGCGACCGCCAGCGCCGTGAGCGCCAGAGTGCGCACCGCGCGCACGTGGACCATAAGGGCTCTGTGCTGTGTACCGGCCGGTCAAAATAAAGTGTACGTCGGCGCGGACGTGGGGCGTGTGGTAGCACGGAGCTAGCGGTTGATAGAATGATAGGCGCGCGCGAGCGAGTGGGCGACGTGCACAGCCGCGTGAATCGCCTTCGAGGGCGCGCGAGATAAGGGCCCGGGAAAGCAGGGGAGAGAGAGCCGAGCCGTAGAAGCAGCAGTCGCGAGCAGAGCAGGGCAGCCATCGTGCGCTCGCTGCCTCATGACGTTGACAGGTGGTGGTGGTACGTGCAGACATACAGCGGCGAAGGGGAACTGACTCCTGGTACAGTGTACCGCCCGTCCCACGGGTACGCCACGGGCCCGCGCGTTTGGCGACACGGCGACCGCTCGCTCTAAGCGGTTAGGGCTATGCGATCCTTGCGGTTGTGTTTCGCATAAAGCTGAATTGACCTGCTTCTTCTGCTACTGCTGCTGCTACTGCCACGGTAACGTTGCGCGGGCGCACTGTGGTCTGTCCTTTTTTTAGTTTAGTTTCCGCCACCGAGACGCGATTGCAAAAATGCGCATGGCTACAGCCCGTTGCGCACGACCGCTTGGCGGCGGTGTAGTGGATACCTGATACATGCCCGTGTTGTATTGGATGCGTGCGATGCTCTCACTACCACCGTTTCGCTCATCCATCCGTGACACAAAGTTCCCGTAACTATTTACAAGGGAGACAGAAGAGAGAGAGAGAAAGAGAGAGACATGTTGCTGATGCACAGAGGCCGTGATGGGAAGGCAACTACGTTGTGCAGAGCACCAGCAGTAGCACCGGTTGTGCTGGTAACGAAAGGACACCCGCCCCTATCGTCGTGGCCATATCTTGCGAGGTCCTCGTTCGTTACGTCGAGACTTGGGGTCGTGTGATCAGCGCACTGCACCTCCTCATACGCACCCGAATACTGCACTGGCGCTCTCTGTTGCAATCGATTGTGCGCTCTGATTGCGGGCGATTGTGGCGATGATGAACCGTCCAAGCGGACCAATAATGTTGGCGAAGAGTGTGCGCAGTGCAGTATCGACAAGAGTGTTCGTTCGCCCTCCCTGGAGCATGCAGTGAGTAACATGAATCGACGCCTATTCTTCGTCATCAATTCGACTGCAACAGCGAGCGACGCGTCACTTGGACCGACAAGAGCGTAGCCATATCAATCTGTCGGTTACTCGACAGATGCTATTTATAAGTGCGCAAGTGCGTTCACTGCTGCACTGTAGCCACTTCGTATCGCTTACAATAGTATGCGCACGGCCTTCGTCTCGTCAATTGGTCCGTCGTGCTGGACGTACAGACTTCGGCGGTGGCCAAACTGGACGTCCCAGAACGTAAACCCCACTGCTGCTGCTAGTACGGCAGCAACCGACACGAACACGAGCGCCTCGAACTGACTCGGGTCGTGGAAGACGACGCCCATCAGCTGAAGAAGTATCAAGAACAACTGGCACGTGGCCGTCTGCATTGCATTAACGGCCCCGCGACGGCTCGGCTCGACCCATTCCTGCATGATCTGCGTCTCGGCAAGATCGCCGCTCCAGAGCCACAGTCGTGCGCCGATCGTGCAACTCAGCATGACGTAGTCCGACTCGCGTGACTCACCAACGAGCACGAATGCCAGTGCGACTGGCACGAGACTCAGCCACATCAGCCAAATGCTCCATACGGCAACTTGCTCGAGCCGAGCAACGGTGCGTCGCAAATAGGGGAACAACAAGGTGCCCACCAGCCCAAAGACTGCACCGACGCCGCGACTTAGGCCCAAGAGCGAGTTTGGTACGCCGCGCCACTTGAGATACGCGGTACTCAACGAGCCGTTGTCGAGAACTGTCATATGCAGCGCACAATACGAAAAGCTGAGCAGGAACACCGGATGCCTCATGTAGTTCCTCCACTGTGCTGCGTAACATGACAGCGCAGATTGGCCGTCTGCTGCACTTTGCCGGTGCCGGTGCGCTCTAGAACTCGAGCCGATCTCCTTGCTTGACAACCCGGGCACAAGTTTGCAGATATCTCGCATCATACAGTACTCGAGTGGCGTGGACAGACAGTTCCAGATCACGATGGTTGACGCGCCGATCAGAGCGCGTGTGGTAGGCTCACGACCTGCGAAGTCGATGATTACGCCGAACGCAAGAGGCCCGAGCAGTTTGCATGCGAGATCGATGCGTCGTAGGGTAGTGTTGAGGCTTGCCAGCGCACCCGAACGCTCCGATCCACTATCTTGTGCGATGATTACGATCCAGTCGCGCTCGGTACTCAGTGTCTGTGCCTCGCTAAGTACCTGGCCCACTCCGCCGCAAACGAGTGTGCCCACATACAATAGCGTCAACGGCCACGTCCATGTTGGTTTGTGCAGCCCGTCTGCGTCGGTCAAGAGCAGCATAGCCCCTAGCAGCATCGCACTGGCGACAACCATAACGTTTTCCAGTACGATGGCGAGCCGCATGGCCTGCCAGCGATGCACAGCATCAAGGTATCTCCCCACCGGTGGTATCGCGAGGAAGCACGTTGCGTACACGACGAGCGAGAAGCACGCACTGGGCAGCAAAGTGTCGACAAATATCTCCATGAAGAGCACGGGGATAGCAAATTGCCACATGTGATCGCCCTGCGACAAAGACCATACCAGTTACATCCAAACACCACCAGATCCTTGCAATGACAAGCCGACTTGCTACGAGGGACGCACCCAGGAAGAAAGCAAGTGGGCAGCACAAAGGTACACCCACACTCGCTGAGGCTGTGTCCGCGAGGAACACTCGTTGCATCTTCCGTCCTGCTGCTTTTCGCGGCACCGTCTGCAACAACTTTGATGACAGTCAGCTAATCCGTACACTTCCACATCAAGACACGTATCGACTTGCAGCGCGTGACGTTGTCCCTGTGCGTCGGCATCGCAGCGGTTGACTGTCGCCGCATAGATCCAGCCAATGACTGGCCCTAGTGCCGACACGCCTATGATGAGCATCACAATGCTGCTGGCTCGAGTCACCAGACACGCGGCGTTTACCTGCAACAAGCAAACTGTGCCTCGTCGCACCATCGCGTCCATTGTCAACTGACTGCGCATCATACGTGCAATGCACCGCCGCCCATTGACACGCACCTGCTCCGTCCACGAGCAGCAGCGCGCTAGCGACGCCCACCGACACGCACGCAAACGCCGTCGCCTCCATTAAAAGCGTTTTAAACCGTTTTTTTAGTTTGTTTACTTTTTAGTGCGCGCGGGTCCGTAATCGTCTGTTTGAACACCGTCAGTCTATTCTTCGCCCCTCACCTCCGGGAAAAACGTCAGCAAATGGTGCGCTGCATCTGATTTCGAGACGCGTTCGAGCAACGCAACTGTCGCGGCAACCGCTCTCAGCGTTGAGGTGCTCGTCAAACACAGCGAGTGACAAGAGCTGATCCGATGCCGGTTGCGCGTCTCGGGCCAACGGACACCACGCGCGTTTGGTGCAACGGCAGCTCTGATCAGCGACTTTTCGTTACGTATCTGGACAGGTCTAGCTTACAGTTGCTCAATTCTAGGTTATAGCTGCTGTCCTAGACTACAGCTACAAACGATACATAGCAGTTATCCGAGTCGCCTAACTATCAAACGCCCACGAACACCGCAGCCTCTATGATGACGTAAGCATCAAGACCACTTGGCCGAGAATCGTAGCCCCGTCTCGTACCACACACTCTCTCTGTCGGGTACAGCAGTCGCGTAACCTGTACCCATTTCGGCCGCTGCCCGAACGATTCGTGACCATGCACGCCCCCGCCGCCGGCTCGTCAGCCACCGCCACCACCGCCACGTCGGCGTCCAAAGACGACTGGGCGTTGCGCGCCAACTTGCGCCTGTGTGGCAGCGTCCCGCCCCCGACGTACGCGGACCTCCGCACGGCCGCACACCTGCAGACGTTCGACGTGCGCGACGGCAGCGCCGCTCTCTGGAGCGACAGCGGCCGACTGTTCCTCGTCGACGTGTTCCACCAGAGCCACGCGACGTCGACGCCGCCGCCGCTGCTGCGACATGTGCTGCTCGATCCGCCACTGCTGCCACACGAAGCGGCCGCAGTGGAGCAGATTAAGCTGAACGCCAGTGGCTCACAAGTGCTGCTGGTGGCCAAGAAATGGCTTAAAGTGCTGCGGCTGCCCGTAGAGACCGAGCGCCAGCCGTTGCGGCTGCAGCGCCGACCCGAAGACGACCGGAGGCTCTGGTTTCTGGTCAAGTACGAAGACGGCAGCGAGGAGAGCGTTGCGCTGGACGACGCCGCGCAAACGGATCTGGACGACGTGCAGGAACAGGTCACGCGACGCGCAAATGCCGACAAGCGCGTGGCGTTTGTGTCACAAGAACAGGGCGTCGGAGGGGTCCGCGCGATCGGGTACTTTGCCAACGTGTGCTACGCCGCGTGGCATCCGCTGAGCGACACGCACGTTGTCGTGCTCTCTGACGCAGAAGAGATTGAGCTGTTTAATACGCAGCAGGACGTGTCGAAGCCGGAGCAACGCCACTGTTTGGATTTCCCGGCCAAAGCACGGGCGACAGGAGCGGGCTCGGTGAGCGTCAGCTTTGGCGCTTCGACTTGCCTGCTACAGCACCAGACCGTGCAGACGCAGGCCGTGCAGATCTGGGAGGCGTTCACGTGCTACGTGCTGCGGTCGGACGGTGCAGTGTATGCACTGTGCCCGTTGGTGCCGTACGATTGCGTCGTGAGCAAACCGTTTTACCAGCTCTTGACGAGCGAAGTCGACGCGCAGATATCGATATGCAAAGACGCAATCAAGGCCAACGGCAGTGGACTGCAGACTCGATTGCTGCTGTTAAAGTCACAGAAGTACTGGCTACAAGAAGGCTGGGCACAAGCCTACACGCGGCGCAAGAGCCCCCCGCCCGGTGGACGGGCACGAGCTTTTCCTGCCGACAACGACACTGTTGATCCCGATGCATTCTGCTACGTGAGCCCTCACGTGAGCGGTATATCGCCAAACACGTGGCCGCTGGCGTTGCAGGGACCCATGGACGTGAGCCCTCAGTCCATCGTCGAAGGCAAAAACCAAGTGGCCGGAGGATCGTCTGCGACGTCACTGCTTGTGGTGCCACACGCTCCACGTCGCACTGCCGAGACCCTGTCGATGAGCGCATCGCCGTTCCTGATGCGTACGTTTACGTCGGGGCACGTAGAGCTCATTCTGCTGGACGCGCCCATTCGACCGCAGTGGAAAAGTCAGCGCCAGCCAGCAGCGACCACGGCCGCGCGCAACCCAACAGCGCTGCTACTCGAGTGCCTCAACCTTGGCGTTGATGATTCCGGCGGCAAGGCTGTGCTGGAGCGGGACGCAGCTGATCCGCGACTGGTCTACTGTCTGCATTCGACAGGCGTGCACGTGATCAACGTCAGTTGGGTGTTCGCACTTGCCTCGGGCAAGCAGTTCACGACATTGCCGAAAAGCTCCGTCCGCCACGTCTTCAGCGTGTCGCCTAACAGCATGAGTTCTTCTCCGGCTGCCCCTGGCGCTGTGGTTTCGAACGTTGTTGGTGCTCGTGTTGTGAAGAACGTGGACTTTGGGCACTTGCTGCTGCTACGCCTCGCGTCCGGTAGTTTCGAAGTCGTGAACGTCAGCGCTGCGTCGAGTGAGTTGCTCAAAGGAATGCTTGCGGACAGCAATGGCGCCAACAGAGACGGACAGAGTTCACAAAAGACGCTGCCCGGCACGTTGGCCTCCATCGCGAATTCCAAGTCGCGGGCTCTGGTGACGAGCAGCTCGAGCGATGGTACGATCCAGCCATTCGAAGACATCGTCGCGGCAAAGTTGGAGGCGCTCAGTGCGCGTGGAACTCGAGTGACCGGCAACACGTTGATGCACGAGATCGACGAGGATGTGCTTGTATTTGTGCTAGAGCGAGTGAAGATCTTGTACGAGGACGTCGAGTACGTCGACGAGATGGACCAGCTCATCCGGGACCGACTCCAGTTGCATGCTACGATGGCGAAGACGCAGACCGAGAAACTGGTGCATGTGCAGGCAACCGTGGACGACGCGCGTACGTCCATGAAGGAGCTTCAAGAGAAGGTGGAGCGTGCGCTGGCCGTGCAGCAGAACCTCAGCAAGCGCGCGGCCGCTGTACTCCAAGCAGTGAAGGAGAACCAGCCACATTTGTCGCGTGCTGAGCGCGAGTTCAAGGACAACCTTGATCTCATGGCCGTGGAAGTGCGTCGGATGAAGTCTCGAGTTGCAGAGTTGATCGTCCAGGGTCAGCGCGCAGTGCGGTCGCTGGGAAACTCGGGACCCCCGGCACCTTCTTCGAGTCGACAGTGGAGTCCCCTCCGTAGCACGGACAGCAGCCGTCCTCCAACGCTCTCGGCCGAGAAGAAACAAATCTGCTTTGACGTGCTGCGCGCGGAGACACAGCTCATTGACGACGCAAAGGTGATGCTGGAAGATCTGAGCGCGAATCTACAGCAAACAAAGGCGTAAGTAGGATATGTAAGCGAGGCCAACAATTGAGACTCGTTCCAGGCTCCTGGTGTTCCTCTTGACCCCTCGACGAGATGTCGTTTGCTAGTCAGTTGGCGCCCCAACATGACGTACCCGATCTTCCGCATCTGTCTGCGCTGCCACGCACAGCCGGACCAGCACCACTTCAAGCCGCGCGCGATTGCTTCGTACTACGACAAAGTGCTGAGCCCCGAGGGCCACACGAGTCTGCTACCAGCCACGCGCCGCTACCAGTCGGTGCGCAGCTACTTCAAGTGCCGATGTATGCCGTCGCTCCGCTGCGCGTACTGCGGCGGGTGCGAGTCGTGCTGCTGTCTGTGCCACACGCTGTTCCAGACGCGCTTCCGGTTCACGGCTCCTGGTGCGTAGCCGCTTGTTGTTGTTGGACTGGACCCGACTCGTTGGAGGGCGCTCGGGACAGGAGCGGTGGCTGCCGCCTGCGTCCACACCTGCGTCCACACCTGCTCTCGCTGCTGTCTATCTGTCTGTGTCTGTGTCTGTGTATTTGGCGCTGACTGACTGAGAATCCGTCCGTGGCGTGTCGCTCGATGTGTCTGTGTGTCTGTCTGCGTCCGCGTGTGTACCTGTGCAGAGAGCCTCGAGGGCCTGCGAGCAGATGTGGACGCTGTCGTCAAGTACCATCAGCAGCAACTTCAGCAGCAGCAGTTGCCCCATCAGCAGCCGCTGCAGCCGCAACGTTAGCGTCGCGAAAGTGACCGCTCCGCTCGTTCGTTTGCCGCATAGCAACGGGCGCAGATGGACCGCGTGCGCCGCGTGCGTACGTGCGGGCGCAGCTCCACACGTCGGCGCGCGACATTTGCTGCCGTCTGTTCATCAGAAGAAATGCGTTCGCCTGTGGGTGTGGACGTGAGTCTGTGCGTGGGCGCAGTGCCCATCGGCGTTTATACCTCTCGGGTTGACCGCCTCACGCGTTCCGACCCGAGCGGACCGCGAGGGCAATGGGCAATGGGCACACACAGCTGTCAACTGCCGGCAACGCACGCGGCGATATGGGCCGCCGCCGCTCGTCAAGAAATGGCCAATAGACCTGTCACGAACTGCCTCTTCTTTCCACCGACGTGCGCGAGTGAGCGGCGGCACTGCGTTCCAGCGAACACGCCAAAAAGATTCTTTGCACGTCGCGTTTTGCTTTTGTGTTCCTCGCTGTTTGCTTCGGCGGTCGCTGCTTGTTCCACGTCGGGTGCGGCGCGCGCCAGTCGGATGCTGCTGCTGCTCACTAAAAAGTGTTTTCGAGCGCATCACCGCCGGACGTACGTACGACACGCTGACCCCCTCGAACTTAGTGCGCAAGTTCAAGGAAACCACTGGAAGTAGTGGGTAGCCGCGCAACGCACGCCCAGATTTGACACACGGCGCCGCACGCTGTCTGAGCGCATGCGTGGGCCGGACGGCTGCGCCGCTGTCGCGTGTCGCATCGAAGCTGCCGCACACCGAGACGCGCGTGCAGGCGCTGGCACGTGCTGCAGCAGAACGGGGACCCGCTCGCTAGACGAGCGATCGCTCGGTTTCTGCCGCTCGGGCGTCTGTCATACGTGTGTGCATCGGACGTTTCAGCTCCCCGTCCACGCCAAAGCTCCTGCAACAGCAGTAGCAACAGCAGTAGCAGTAGGAGCCGCGCGTAGAATCGCTGCCGAGGGAGAAACGAAGCGAAACATTGTGGACGCTGCACCGTCGCCGGTGTGTCTGGTGGTTCTCGTGGCGCGATCGAGTGGTCGGTGTCCAGCTGCTCCCTCGCTGCCGTGAGACGCCGCGGACAAAACCGAGCCAGCGGTGAGCACGGCTGACGATGCGGTTTCTTTGTACGGTTCGCGGGCGCGCCCCGTCGCTCTTCCCACTGACCCGATATCAAGTCAGCCAGGCCGTCCGGAGCTCCTCAGTCGCCAAGTTCCCCCTCGAATGGAAAGTGATTGGAGGACAGTCCGCCGTCCCGAGTTCTGCAGTCGCGCCCCTGTCCGCTCGGAAGCTGCTGCCGCCGTCGTCTGCCCCCCGTGCGCGTGCTGAGTCGAGTGCCGCTCGAACGTGTCAACGTCTGAGTTTACTTTCTCCGCCGCCGGCTCCGGCAGCTCCATCAGCTCTGCCCAGGCCAGTTGGTTTGGTTCTCTCCTGCCACAGTACACTGACCCACGCGCCGCCATGAAGCGCAACTTTGGCTCGCTCAACCTCACGGCACTCGACATGAGCCGGCCACTGAGCACCAGTGCTGACTGCAGCCTGGAAGACCGTTTCTCAGCCATGGGCCCGAGCGTCGATGACTGTACTCCCAACGCCGGTGCCGAGGACACGAGCGAGGATAGCGTGGGTTATCCTCTCGAGCACTTGCACGTGGCGGCCGCCGACAGGCGCAGTGAGTCTGCTGCACCGGACGTGGACATGGAGGAGACGTTGTGCGGGCCCATTGAGGCGGTGGTGAGTCAAGCACGCAGGGACGACGGCAGTGGATGTCTGCAACAGGGGCAGTGCCCGACGTCGCCCGAGATGCCGCCGCAGCTGCCGCACGACAACGTGGAGCTCAACGCGCTAAGGCGTTTGAGTCTTAAGGTGATGCTGTCGAACCTGTCGACCTCCAGCAGCAGCAGCAGCAACTGCAGCAGCAGCGGTACCAGCGGTGGCCCCATCGCGAACGTCGCGTCCACTAAACCCAAGTGCGCGTCGTATCCGGGCGTGAACGGTCGGGCGAAAACGGCGCTGCTGCCGATTCGCCATCCGTCATTACAGAGCGTCTAGATCCACCACACGACGGACGACGTCTCGTGGGGGAGCCTCTCTCTTTTTTTTCAGCTTACTTTATCGTAATAGTATGCATTATTGTATTCGCGGCAGCTACGCGCGGTCTCGCTTACCAATGTCGCGCTGTGCTTGAACGAGGTGCCGCGTCGCATATCTGTCGTCCAGTCGTCGCCCGGCAACAAGTGGCTGTGTGGCTGTGCTGGACGTTGCGCTACGGCAACTTCAAGTGTCAAGAGCTCGTGCCGACAGGTCGGTTTCAATACCGGATGGCCGAGAGGAAGAAGCAGAAGAGGAAGAAGAAGAAGGAACAAGTTGCACCCGCAACGACAGCTCGTTGAGGTGCGTAAACAGTAGACGCGACGTCGCGACTACATACTGCCTGCTCTCGCGCTCGGGGGTTTCTTTCCGAGTCGACTGCGTGCGTCGAAGATCGATGGGCTCTCCTGCCTCATGTCGACCGTAAAGGTGGTCGCAAGCGGAGAACCGCGTGGAAGACGGCAGTCGCACTTACCGTCTGATGATGAGGCCGTGCACGACCGTGGCAGCGGTCGACCAACTGGTCGCCACGTGCCCGTCGAGGCTATGCAAAAAATCATCTTGGCGATGATCGGCCAGTCGATTTATGTACGACGAGCAGTCGCCTGCGACCCCTGCGCAGATGTTTTTTGTACGGATGCAGTGGATCTCGTGAAGCCATTGCCCACATCCACTACCCCGACGACGTTTACGCCGCACTTCTGCCCTGTCTGCAGCAGCGTCCACAATGTTTCGCTTCGTTTCTCCCTCGGCAGCGATTCTACGCGCGGCTCCTACTGCTACTGCTGTTGCAGGAGCTTTGGCGTGGACGGGGAGCTGAAACGTCCGATGCACACACGTATGACAGACGCCCGAGCGGCAGGAACCGAGCGATCGCTCGTCTAGCGAGCGGGTCCCCGTTCTGCTGCAGCACGTGCCAGCGCCTGCACGCGCGTCTCGGTGTGCGGCAGCTTCGATGCGACACGCGACAGCGGCGCAGCCGTCCGGCCCACGCATGCGCTCAGACAGCGTGCGGCGCCGTGTGTCAAATCTGGGCGTGCGTTGCGCGGCTACCCACTACTTCCAGTGGTTTCCTTGAACTTGCGCACTAAGTTCGAGGGGGTCAGCGTGTCGTACGTACGTCCGGCGGTGATGCGCTCGAAGACACTTTTTAGTGAGCAGCAGCAGCATCCGACTGGCGCGCGCCGCACCCGACGTGGAACAAGCAGCGACCGCCGAAGCAAACAGCGAGGAACACAAAAGCAAAACGCGACGTGCAAAGAATCTTTTTGGCGTGTTCGCTGGAACGCAGTGCCGCCGCTCACTCGCGCACGTCGGTGGAAAGAAGAGGCAGTTCGTGACAGGTCTATTGGCCATTTCTTGACGAGCGGCGGCGGCCCATATCGCCGCGTGCGTTGCCGGCAGTTGACAGCTGTGTGTGCCCATTGCCCATTGCCCTCGCGGTCCGCTCGGGTCGGAACGCGTGAGGCGGTCAACCCGAGAGGTATAAACGCCGATGGGCACTGCGCCCACGCACAGACTCACGTCCACACCCACAGGCGAACGCATTTCTTCTGATGAACAGACGGCAGCAAATGTCGCGCGCCGACGTGTGGAGCTGCACCCGCACGTACGCACGCGGCGCACGCGGTCCATCTGCGCCCGTTGCTATGCGGCAAACGAACGAGCGGAGCGGTCACTTTCGCGGCGCTAACGTTGCGGCTGCAGCGGCTGCTGATGGGGCAACTGCTGCTGCTGAAGTTGCTGCTGATGGTACTTGACGACAGCGTCCACATCTGCTCGCAGGCCCTCGAGGCTCTCTGCACAGGTACACACGCGGACGCAGACAGACACACAGACACATCGAGCGACACGCCACGGACGGATTCTCAGTCAGTCAGCGCCAAACACACAGACACAGACAGACAGATAGACAGCAGCGAGAGCAGGTGTGGACGCAGGTGTGGACGCAGGTGGCAGCCACCGCTCCTGTCCCGAGCGCCCTCCAACGAGTCGCGTCGAGTCTAACAACAACAAGCGGCTACGCACCAGGAGCCGTGAACCGGAAGCGCGTCTGGAATAGCGTGTGGCACAGACAGCAGCACGACTCGCACCCGCCGCAGTACGCGCAGCGGAGCGACGGCATACATCGGCACTTGAAGTAGCTGCGCACCGACTGGTAGCGGCGCGTGGCTGGTAGCAGACCCGTGTGGCCCTCGGAGCTCAGCACTTTGTCGTAGTACGAAGCAATCGCGCGCGGCTTGAAGTGGTGCTGGTCCGGCTGTGCGTGGCAGCGCAGACAGATGCGGAAGATCGGGTACGTCATGTTGGGGCGGCACCGACGGGAGTACACAGCGCAGCCCAGACACTGTTTGTACAGGTTGGTGATTTCTCGCTTGCAGATGCCGCACGAGTAATTCTCAGCGCTATCTACCGGTGGGTCGTGCAAATCAGCGTCGACTGTGCGCCACATGCTCTCATCGTCAAAGACCTTGCGGAACTCGTCACTGTCGTCGGTGTTGGACAATCCCAGCTCATACGCTTCTTCGACAATGGCGTCTAGGCATGGAAGGATCGACTCCAGGAAAAGCACCATCTGAGCTTGTCGCTGCGCGACTACACCGCGATCGATGGGCGCCGGATTGGACGTGAACGACAGCAAGTGCGATGCATGAGGACGCACTGATATCAACGCCGAGCGCAAGAACTGACCAGTGCGCACGATTGCAACGCCACACTGTGTAACAATCATGTACATCGTCACGTCACTCCAGGCATACCGACGCCGTTGCGCAACACACCACGCACCTTAGCAGCTTCGACAATCACACGGCGAGGGTCGAATACCCACCCATCGGAACACATGCTGGCATTCTTCATTGCAAACTGGCAGTAGAAAAAGCAAGAGGTTAGTACGCAGAGGAGAAATAAGCTGAGCCAATGCAGCACGACTGGATCAAGCACTGCAGCATACCCAGCATTCTGTCGAGATACCACGTTGAGAAACACCTTGGTAGACCCACTCCCACGAGAGGAAGACACACGGCGCGTTGATGGATCCACTGACACTGTCCTTTTCCACGACGCGCCAGAAGTGTTGACGGCCCTAAACGTTATCAACATAGCAGTCATACATGGTAAGCGAAGAAACACGGCTGCTACAGGATGCAATGTCGGCAGACGCATATGCGTCCTGCCTTTTCGATCCAAACGTACCTTGTTCACATGCACAAACTCTCCGTCTTGCAGAAGGACTGTCGAAAACGCAAAGCCTGCAGAGCTGTGTCCACATCGTTCCACACGACAGAGTGACTACGTGCCCTGTGTTCGACAACGTTGACCATTGCACGTACCGTAGAGCACGAAGATGCGCGTCTAGTAGCATGGTTTTCCTCACTGCATCATATCCTGACCGTCGCAAAATGTAGTCGAAGTCTGCCTTGTGCTGTGGCTCAAAGCGCTCAAAGATAACGAGCTCTAGCGACCCCACCAATACCTGTCAGGAACAAGCAAGCAGCAGATCTATCAGCGTTTGTTGTCATGTGCATCCTCCATTTTTCTTGCCTGGTACGCGGTATCAGTAGTGCCGTTGCCTGGATCGTTCAGCGAGCCTCGCGCTCCAGGAAAGTTGAAATGCAGTTTCGGACTGAGAAACCTCTCGTGCCAGCTATTTTGTGGGAGGTATTGCAACAAACAGTGGATGCCACCAGCAAACACGTCCCACTGGAATCCCTTGATGAGGTCATTGTAGAGCTGTGACAGTTCAATGGCACATGGGAAGGTCAATCGTGGTGATCAAGTCAGCAAGTACAGCATAAAGACAGCCATACCTGTGCACAGTGCTTCGCGAGCACCAAGTTATTCAGTGCAATAATGTTATCGGTAGCCACAAGAGTAATCGTCTTTTTGCTGACAAGGTCTTCCAGCACGACCACGTCCTTGCCGGGAACATTCGATAAATACTTTTCCAGGTACGTGTTGAATGATGCCACGGACAGCTGCAGCTCACCGACATACGCCAACTCCGGCATGTCAGTCTCACTATTTCGCTTGAACTGGAAATGGTCGAACGCAAGATGGGTGTTGTGTCCGCAGCACTCGAGAATGAAAGGCCATGCCCATATATACTGATTGAGCTCGCTGCTCATGCCTTTCACAACCAGACTCACGTCAGGAGACTCGAAGCACCGGAAGAAAAAGTCCACCTCGGTTTGATAAAGCTTCGTAGCTTTGTCAGCAAAGACGGGCGATAGATCGATCCGGAAAACATGGTTTGCATCGTCGGAGTGGCAGCTGAACCGCTCATAGATTTCCGACGGAAACGCGGACGGGTTATGCCACGGGATGTTGAGCGTGTTGTGACGCACAGAGACTTGTGATGAGACCTGTGACGTGAAGCGCCCTTGAGAACCGTAGTTATTCATCGTTGATGCCGAGCCATTTCGAGTACTTAGAGCCAGGTCAGCAAGCTGGGAGTCGGCATACGAAGTCGAAGGTGGTGCTGACCCAAATGATGTCCCGCGATAAGATGACTCGAAATCATGTCGAAGTGGGACCCTCCCACCTTGTATCTGCTGCTGTGGTGGCTGCATGCCAGAAGAAAGTCGGTCGCGTGTTCCCGCCACAACCGGCGACCTTTTTCCTGGTAGACGTCCGTCGAAAAAAGGAAGCACTGAACTATATCCGGAAGATGCTTGATGCGTGCTTGGATCTTCTCGCAGCACTGGACGCGAGTTTATAATTAAGTTTTGTGCGTGGCGTGGCCCTCCCGTCGTCTCAGTACCTGCTGGGTTTGACGCGGGCAGCGAGACGTACTTGCCGCTAGTCGATCGCGACAACTGCATCGTAGACGACGTTAGTATCGCGGGGTCTGCGCTACGAAAGTGACTCTCCTGCTCTGTGCCAAACTCCCGCAGCGGGCGATGTACGGCAGGTGACACGGCCCGTGCCGATGACTGCAACTGCCGGTCGTCACTCTCCTCTTGCACCACCGGTGTGTTATTGCTGCTGCTCGTACTGAACGCCGTCGCTGTCTGCTGTGGTGGGTACACCAAGCCACTCGTACTCGTGGAGCTCGACGCGGGCGTGCTCTCTCCACCTCCGCCAGCCATCGACGACGAAGTAGCGTGGCCACGAGCAGGTTGTTCTGGATCCCGACCGTCTTGCAGCGCTCGATTCGTACCGACAATGCGTCCCTTGCCGCGTCCTCTGCCCCGGCCTCGACCTCGTCCCCTCGCTCGTCCACGGCCACGCCCTCGACCACGTCCTGTACCCAGCAGCAGCAGCTGTCGATGCGCTTGCAGTCGGTCCGACTTTTCCTGGAGCACGCTCTGAATCTGCGTGGCCAGGCGAGGGAAATCCCCGTGGCGATAGACCGCGTGCTTGACCTGCTGCTGTTGCTGCTGCTGCTTGCGGAACGTGGCGTAGCACACGTGGCGGCAAAAGAGGTTGCAGTCCTCGGGCGGCAGCGGCAGACTCGCGCAGTGCGCGTGGAAGTAGTTGACGCAGGTTTTGCACCGCACGAGACGGATGGCCGAGTTGGCTTCGAGGCCGCAGAGCACGCACTGCAGCCGCGGGGTCGACGCCGCCGGCGCGGTCAGCAGCTTCTCGGCTGCGTTGCTGCTGGGTGCGCCGTCGCCACTGCGCATCGCTGTGCTGCTGCTGCTGCTGTCGACGTTCGACAGGTGGTACGAGTTCCGCGCGGGCATCGCGGCTCCCGCCAGCGGCGGCGAGTCCTGCGTACGCGTCGCCATACTGCGGCGCTCCTGTTGGCTTGCGCGTGCTCGGATTGCGAGGGCGCGGGTGCGTGGGATAAAAAGCGCTTTTTTAGTCGCTCGTGCAATAATCGATTGAATCGAGGCACGCGCGACGGCGCGAGAAGTGGTTGTTAAGGACCAGCTCGACAGGTGGCGCGTGAGCGACCGCCTGGCGGCAGATGGAACGCTCGGGCAGTGGTCTCTGAAGTAACTCGTTTGCCGTCGCAGGCGAATCGCTCGACCGCGCAAAAACGCGCAAAAATGTGACGTGTCAGACGCGACGGTCGTGGCGGTCGCTGGACATACACCGAGCCCTAGTTCACGGGGTTAGGACTCACTTTACGAAGGCAGCATACTGCCGTGAAGTGAGTCCCGTTCCCGTGAACCATCTGTTGTGTCAACGCAACAAGACGTTGTTCGACGCGATCCAGTGCTTCCTCTCATAAGTTGTCCTCCATGCGTTCTCACTCTCGGCTGGATCCCAATTACGTGTCACTAAGCTCGTTCTATGACCGCTACGTTATGGCGAGTCCGAAGGTAAAGCTACTAGTGAGTGTGCGCTGCTGCACAGACAAAGGTAGCCGTCGTCGTCTCTCTTTTCTTGCATCCTGATCTCCGACACAACAACATTACCCACGAATTGCTCGATCGCAAAACAACTACAGCAACACTGTATTCACCACCGCTCACAATGCACAGCCCACTCACTCCCACCGATCGATCCAACCATCTGAAACAGGCCTGTGAATATTCAAAACTTGAATCAGTTCGCTGGACTGAATTGCTTCTAGTGATGGACGAGCTCCGGGACTTGCTCCTCTATCTTTAGCTGTAACTCGAGTAAACGACTTAAGCATTTCTCCATCCATACGAGAAGCAACAACGCCCGAGCGATGACCATCTCCAACGAAATGATCTGCAATGGCAACTTACCGTCCCCTTTCGACCTCTGCGCCCTGCATGACCCCAGGCTGAGTCACCGATCCCTGTACCCTTGCAAAGTGCCTCTCGTGAAGATTAAGTTGTCAAAAAGCAGTAGGATGAGCCAGCGAGGAGGAGAACGATGTGGTCAAGACCCACACAAATTTCCATACAAACACTTCCAAAGCCATACGTGCTTGATCGACAGTGTGATCCTCTTTCCTTAGAATGGGCAAAATAGACCGATGGATGGAGACACAGGAGCAGCAGCAGTAGTGCCGCGTAATCATAACGATGATGACGGCATCCATCGGCCGGGTCTTGCTTCCTGTCATGTGTGTTGTGGGTACAACGTTGGGTTGTTGAAGTGGTGAGATGTGCCTTTTGTTTGCAAACAGTCGACCAATCGATCGATGCAATTAATTGGAATGAATCGATGCACTTGTCGATTTACTCTTCAGACCGTCCCTCGCTACGTTTTATTAATTCTCCGCTAGCGTCGTAAAAGCTCACTCCGATTGGCGAATTCATTCCTTCTCGGAGGGAGCATTGTCTTTGTCCCGTGGGTGGCTGCTACTCACATGCGACATGCAGACGATGTGTGGCACACCAACCAGCAGGTTCCTCGCAGCTTCTTTGCTTGCCGTCGACTCCATCCCATAACGCCAGCGACAGTCGCCGAGATGGTTTCGCCGGCCCCTGACGCAGCAGCTCCAGGCAAACTTGACACGGGTGTCGATGGTACAGACGAGCCGCCGACGGTTCATAGCCTCATGCAAGAGGTGGCGCGACTGCAGCAGGTCGTGCGCGCTCTGAGCAACGACGACGCGGCGGTGTTGGCCGAGTGCACCTCGCAGCAATACAACCTGAAGACGCGTCCAGCGAATGGAGAAGCCAACGGCTTCTCTGGCGTCGCGATGGGTTCCGGACCACAAGTGGCCACTTCTATGGACAGGACGTCGTCGGTTTGCACGAACGCTGGCGCTATGGTGCACGGCGAGGAGCTCAACAGATCGGTGACGGGACTGAGGACACCGCCTCTCAAGCGGCGCGAGCGGCCAGCGGTCTCTCCCACGACACGGATAGCATCGCTGACAAAAGAGAACATCTCGTTGCTGCCGACGCCCCGCACTCAGCACTTTGCCGGCTCTGTCTGTGGCTCACAGCAGTCCTGCATGAGCATTCGCACGGAAGGCGGCACGGTGTTTTCGCGGCTGTACCAGCCAGACTTTTACAAGAAGCGCGAGGAGAAGTATGAGAGTATGCGCGAGCGCCGCGATAGTGTACACTGCGCGTTCACGCCGCGCACGAATCGACGCGCTTCGATCTCTTCACGAGACTCGATCGACACCGAGTCGCAGGCGTCCATGCAGTCGGCCAAGACCGACGTGTTGAACGTGTCGAGTCGTCTGTACGACCCAAGCTACGTTCGCAAGCGCAACGCACGACTGCAGCGTTTGCGGCAAGAACGGGAGATGCGGGACTGCACGTTCACGCCCGTGATCAACGCCAAAAAAGGGGTTCGCTATGCGGACCAGTCCAAGTGTTGAGCCATACCAGGCGAGATCCGTGTACATCAACCAGAAGGAGGAGGAGGAGGAACCAATGGGGCTTTGTGATTGAATAATAGGTTGGGCTACTGCTGAAATCGGTCCACCGCCTACAGTGTTTGCATACCTCTTCGTGCGACGTACTTCGCTCGATCCCGTGGTGATGCACCCGGTCGATTGAAGCGTTGAACGAGTTCTCTCTCATGTTTCGATAGATGCCTGACGTCGTTGTCGTCAGTGTCAGCGCCACAAAGACGAGTCTTGTTTCATGGTATCCGATCCGGGGAGCTGGAGAGCAACTGAAAAAAGAACAGAGAGGCTGTATCATGAATACTGTGCGATACTTCTCGCGCACGTGCGACATCGTGCATCTGGACATCTGACGGCAAAGCTGAAGTGGTATAGCAGTCGAGTGAGACGTAAAAAGCGACCTGTAGCTTCGGACGAATGGATAAGGTCACAGTTGAGGCGAACTAGAGTCGAGACGTCAGACTCTGTGCTGGTACCGAAGAATCGTTGATCTAAATCACACACGAAGCGGTAATCAATCGCACTTTACGGCGCTGCATGTCCACGCTGGACAAAAAAGGGTCGCAACGCCACAGTCTTTTTGAGCTCAATATTGCTGACGCTCGTTCTCCGCGTTTTATCGTCAGCAGACTACAGCAAATGACCTAAATCAGAGCGATATACTCCATCTCTAACTGCGGCTGCTCATGCATTCGTGCGAGAATACATCGATTGGGGTTTCGTCGTACCCCTTTTTAACGGTCCACGTGCTTTTCGGCGGTTTTAAACCGACGCGACCAACTGCCCGACTTTACGAAAGCGCACTGCAACAATTCCAGTGATCCGACTGGTTGAGGGGTACGAAACTTGCGGTCTGTGCTGCCGGTCATGCCGCCTCGGAAGAAGCCGTTCAGTGGGAAGGCCAAGAAACAGCAACTTCGTGACGCTCGAAGCAGGAAACGCGACGCCGTTGACTCGGATGATGACGAGGCGGTCAATGCCCCAGACGCAGCTGGTCCGCCGCAAGCGGTAGGTCTCTTATAAGCTCCACCCCGTAACCCATAAATGCTCTACTGCCTTGTTGATGGGCGAATCTAGTTGGGGTGGTACTGACCGGTGATATTGCAGGTTCCGGGTGGACGCAGCAACCTCCGAACGATCTTCCAGAAGGAACCCAAGTCTGCTGTTGATGCGCGGAAGAAAGACGCGACGCGGGAGCTCGTGTACGCAAAAGATCGGGGCAGTTCTCAGACCATCTACGCGTACGGGATCCAGGATCCAGCTAATCAGCCACGCATTTTGACCAAGCCCGAGTGGTCGCGGGACATGACTCCTGAAGAGCTGGACGACGTGGACAGTCGAGCTTTTACAGAGTGGGTCGAGTACCTGGAGCAAGAGACAGCGCGTCGTAGCGACGGCACGCAGCTCAACTTGTACGAGAGGAACTTGGAGGTCTGGCGCCAGCTGTGGCGAGTGGTCGAGCGCTCGTCGGTTCTCGTTCATCTCGCAGACGCTCGCTGTCCGTTGCTGCACATCAGTGACCAACTAATGACGCACATTCGCACGAAGTTTCCACGGAAGCGCGTGGTGCTGGTGCTCACAAAGACTGACTTGGTTGCGGCAGAGCGTGTCGAGAAGTGGTCACGGTATTTGCAAGCACGGTATGGACAAGACCTCCCCGTGTTAGCGTATTGCCGCGACACAATGGACGAGAGCAACGCTGCCCTCATGCGAGCTATTGGTCAAGTGAGTGCTGGCATTGAGCAGCAAGCCTGTACTGAAGACTCCACTGGAGAAAGAGACGAACACACGACGCTCACGGTTGGTTTCATCGGGGAGCCCAACGTCGGCAAGAGCTCGCTGCTCAACAGCCTCTTTGAACGAAAGCTCGTAAGCGTGTCGGCTACCCCTGGGCATACCAAGCATCTGCAGACGCACTACTTTGACCGCGTGGAGATGCTCGGGTGCAGCCACAGCGCCTTTTCCCGCATCCTCATGTTTGATTGCCCTGGCGTGGTCTTTCCCCGCTTCAACGTGCCTGTTCTCCTGCAGATTCTGTTTGGCAGCTTCCCCATCGCCCAGACACGTGAGCCTTTCAGTGCTGTGCGCTTCATTGCCGAGAACTGCGCGCCGCACCTGCATGAGGTGTACAAACTGAAACCCGTGGAGAAAGATGACGACAATGAGCAGTGGAGTCCGTACACTTTGTGTGCGTCGTACGCGCAGCTTCGCGGCTTCCGCATGAAAGGCGGTAAACTGGACGTGCACCGCGCTGCCAACTTGTTGCTGCGGGACACACTCAATGGCAAGAAAGTGGTTCTCTCGTTCCCGCCGCCAGCAGATGCCACAGCTGCCACGCCCGTTCCTGATGTTTCGTAGCCATAGCCAAGTCGTGCAGCAGCCTACGAAGTCGCACGCATGGGGTACTCGGTAATCGCCTGCGCGACCAAACAGCGTGGACAATATACCATGCAACCGGTTCAACAACGTCAAGAGGATACAAAATAATGTCATTGCTCGATCCTTCTTACGCCATGATGTTCCTTCGTGTGCATTGGTCTGCTGAGTATTTTACAGTCACCACGTAACCTGCCGACGCAAATTGCGCTCCTCGGAGCTGTTGGGTGTGTTGCACGGACGCAATCCATCAACTCGACCTCTTTGTTTTTGTCGCCTATTGAATCTCCTGAGACAACTACATCTGAATGGGTACAACTACTGTGGTATAAATAAATACACACACGTCCAAAAGTGTCTCATGTTTACATGCCTCGTCTCATGTCTGGTGCCACTCCCTTTTTTGCTTCGTCTTTCGAGCGTCGACGCTATGCGGTCGGGGAATTGGCTGCGTCCGCGTCTCCGACGGACTCTGAGGGCGCCACAGCGGCCGCGCACATGTACAGTCGTCTCGAAGGCAGCACACGGCAATGGGATAGCCACACGTTGCGGCGGACCCGACGGCGGGTGTAGGTGGACAGAGGGAACGGCGGCTGACATGCGCTTCTTCTGATTGACTGGCGTGTGTGTGTGTGTGTGTTGACTATGTGCCTTTTTTGCTGCGGTGCAGTGAGCTGCTGGAAGTGCCACCGCACGACCGACAGCTGCGCGTTCTTTTGCCCCACGTGCGACGCGATTCAGCCGCTGAGCAAGAGCTGCGACTACTTTGACATGTTCAAAATGCACGTCAAAGCTCGAGTGGATCCGCTTTCTTTCTTTCTCTCTCCCTCGCTCTCTCTCTCTTGTGCGTAGCGACGTGGAAGTTGACGCTGCCTGTTGTCTTTGTGGTGGTTGAGTGTGCGAGCAGCCCCAGGCACTTCACACTGGAGCCGCGCAGGATCGAAAAGACGTACTGGAGTCTGCTGAAGCGCTTGCATCCGGACCTATACGGCTCCAAAACAGAGGTGCGACGTGCACTCATCTTGGTCTGGTCGTTGTTGCAGATACGTGTACGAAGGAGTGTCTCTTTCTTATGCTTCTCTGTTTCGTGTAGTTTGAGAAGGAGCTGTCAGCAGCCAATGCTGCAGTCGTCAATGACGCGTACAAGATACTCAAGACACCCAACACACGCGTGAAGTACCTGGTGCGTGCGGCGTATCGTTGTTTGTTTTGTGGTCGCAGAGGCTGTGTTCGTCTAACGCGCTGGACTGCAGCTATCGCTAGACGGGATCGATGCTCTTGGCGAGACTGCGAGTACAGCAGTAGACACGGAGCTGCTGATGCAGATGATGGAGATTCGGTAGGGCAAACCAGTACACAACACTGGAACTGCTGGCGTTCGAGCTTGAGTGAGTGAAACTGACAGTCGTTGAACGCACGCAACTGATAGAGAACGAATCGCGATGGCGACAACTATCGACGCGCTGCACGCTATCCGCGAGGAAATCTCGAACCAAGTTGACGCCGTGATCAAAAAGCTGGGCGAAGTGTACGACAAGGACCAGGACCTTGAGGCTGCGAAACGATACGCCGTTGAGCTCCAATACATGGTCAAGTGCGTCGAAGAAATCGACCTGAGGGAAGAGAAGCTGGACGGGTAGTTACAGAGGTTATCCTTCTTGGTCTGCAGATACAAGGCCTCACACCTTTTCATTCCATGATATACCCGCTATTGCTGCTTTTGCCAGTTGTGTATGGAAGCATTGACGACGTTCTCTCGCTCTCCATCTCGTGGCCTGCTCTTTCTACCGCCTACCACCGCGCTGGCGAACACTCAGCTCGAGCTCTGTGTCGTTTACAAAATTGTAGTGTGCGCACGAAAAGGCGTCCTTGACGAATCCCAACGAGAACTTGAGCTGCTGCTTGTTTACTGGCATGCCCTGTAGCTCGGTCTGTATCAAACAAGCAAGGCGTGGTTAGATACAATGTCACCGAACAACGCCGCTCACATATTGCGCACCATCAGCTTTTCCTTGAGTGTCCGCATACTGTCCTTCACATCCAGCTCTATCGTTAGCGTCTGTCCCCCTAATTTCCATTGGGCGTTGTCTGGATCGTTTGGAACCTTCACAACCAGTCGCACAATCCCCTGTTTTCACACGTGCAAAAGCACAAGAAGGTTAGCACGGTCAATCCGCTATACGACAAGCACCACACGTACCGGATGTCGGCTAGCAAACTCTTTCTCTGGCAGTAATGACGATCCGCCTGTACGTTGCCTCTTCGCGCCCGGTTCAAGATCTTCGCCTGGAGGTCCTGCGGTCACACTCGCTGCTACAACGCCAGGAGGTCCAGCCCCGACACCAGGTGGGCCATGAACCACTCCTGATGCCATTACGTTTGGCGCTTGCATGTGTGGGGGGATGATGCCAGCGGAGGCAGCACCCATAGGTGCCAAGCCAGGAGGTCCCATCCCGGGGGGCATCATTCGAGGAGGACCCATGCCTGGGGCTCCCGGTACCATCGCGGTCGGTGGCATGATACCAGGAGCTCCTGCAACTGGAAGAGTCATTCCTGGGTGGCCGGCAGCCGGAGCGGCCATACCTGGAGTCCCAGTCATTGGAGCTGGCATCACGTGGCCAGCTGACTCCACGATCGGTACACTTGTACCCATCCGTCCAAGTCCAGGATGCCCCGCATGCTCAGGCATGTGCTGGCTTCCAGATGTGCCAAAGTCAGACTCAGACTTCTCTTCTTTGTCGGAATCCATTTCCTCCTGCTGTTGCTGTTGCTGTTGTCGTTGTTGCTGTTGCTCTGCAGCAGTCGGCGCTGTCGTCGCTTGTAACAACCGTGCTTCTTCTTCAGCAGAGGAAGCAAATATGTCCGCGCGTTTTGTTGCAAACCGCCGCAGCGAGTCTGCGATTGCCGAGCCTACAGCATAAGAGCTCTCTTTCTGCTTTTCTAGATGACGCTGGGTTTCTTCGCGCCACTTTGGGTTCATCAATAGAATGCGCATGTGTTCATTTGCCTCTGCAGACGAAAGCGTTTTGCCATCGACACTCAACAACGGTTGCTGCGCTGTTGCTGCTGAGGCGTGTGGTATGTGATTTTCAACCACCTTGATATCCGGCTTTGGCTCTTCGTCATCGTCCTCCTCCTCCATATCCATGTCTTCATCATCAGATGCATTGCCCTCCCCTTCATCACGAGCGGCAGAAGCGCCCAAATCGTCATCGTCGTCGAAATTGATCGTCTCCACCACCACAAAGTCGTGCCAGTCGATCTGTGCAAGCGCGCGGCGCTCGGCGTCGCTCTCTGCCGCCTCCTTGTCCTTGCGTTCCTGCTCGGTACGTTGCCACTCCATTCGATGCACGCACCGATCGAGCACCTGCATGCGCTTTGTTCCTTCTTCTATCCTGAGAACGTCACCCACGATACAATGCAACACGATACATGCACAACACGACAGCAAGCGAGAGCGAATACAATCAGCACAGCGTTACTCACCACGCTACTATACGCACCAAGCAACGTCAGAAAACGAACGCGTCACTCACCGCTTCATCTGCACGTCCTGCTTGGCCAGCACCAGCGTGTAGCTCTCCACCAGTGCTGTAAAGTACGCAAACAATGGATGCGTAGGCTTCAGAAAGTCAAATTGCGGGTTCCGCTGCTCGCGCGTAGCCAATCCTGACAGGAACGAGCTGCCGCTCAGTGCCGTGTACTGCGCCGTGAGGTACATGATCTCTTGGTCAAGGGCACTGAGTGTCGGGTGCTTGATCATAAACTTCTCCTCAAGCGGTGGCTCCAGCGCAGTCTCTTTTATCTTCTTAGCCACTTGGGCCGCAACATTCTCGACTGCTTTTTTCTCCACCACCAGTTCACTCGAAGACGGCAGCGACACGTCTTTTGCAGCCTCTTGCGCCGTCACCGCCACACGCAGCGGCTCTTGTCCTGCGTCTTTGTCCTCGTTCGACGGCCCGGCCGTCGGGTCCTCGCTCGGGTCGCTCTTCTTGGCACTCAGTTCACTCACCTTGTGCTCGTAGTACGCGTGGTACGGGTCCGACTCGCGCAGAAAGGAGAACTTGGTCGACATGCGCTCGCCCACGATGCGGCTCTCGAACGCGCGCCCATTGTTCGCGACAAACTGCGCCGTCTTGTCCACCACCGCGCGGATGTCGAGCGGCGGGTAGATGATGCCCGTCACGCGGCCCTGTACGGTCGCGCGCGCTGCTGGCGGCTCCTCGGGCGGCTCATTTGCTGCCATGGGCGATGGCTGACGACGACGGCGCGGGGGTTGGACGCGTTTTTTGGTGAGCGCGCTGCGAACTTAAGCACCGCCTGAAATGTTTCGTACAGCAGCTGCCCTCGTATCCGGATGGTTCACAGGGGTATACAGGCGTCGTCTTGTATACGAAAAGAGAGTGGGGAAGCTGAAGCTGACTGCTGATGTGCAGGTTTAGCCAGAGTGGAATGGGAGTAGTGGCACTTGGATCGGACGCCTTGTTCTCGAGAAGTAGAGCTCCTTTCGCTGAAAGCAGAGCGCTGCGCTACTGAAATGAGCTCGTTGTAGTGCATTCTAGCCAACACCGAAACAAGGTCTACAAGTTCTTAGCATCTCGGCGCATGTATCTACAGTACTTGGTGTGATATCGCGGTGATGAAGCGCTTGACGCGTTTTCCTCTTCTTGCATCCTTTGACGTATGCAATCACGTATACAGAATATCGAGCACCAGGTGCAGAACAAAGTGTCACCTACACCACACCTCTGATCGAGCTCTCTTTTACTCTAGCAAAATAGACCACACGTGCAATTCAAAGTGGCGCCTTGAGCTGAGATCATGGCGTGTCTATCGACAAGATCGATAAGTGAATCGACCTGTGCAATGTAGTGTCATACGTTTGTACATCGTTGGCTGACATGACAGCTAAATCTGATTGAACCTGAGCTAACCGAATCCGATCACCGCTGCCTTTGACCCGCATACTTCACGGACTTCTGTATCCGTATCTACGTAAGACAAGTCTTCAGGTGATGACGAACATACGTTCTAATCGATCTGATCGCCTTTGCATGGCAAGACCTAGCACTTTTACGTTAGTTTGGTCACTCAGATATACGAAATTGGCAGTCACGAGTATGTGTGCAGTTTGATACCTGCTTGTCCATGGTTGGGGGATGTAGCCTGTTCAAATGCTTACAATTATTGTTGTCAGTTTTTTTGGTTTTTTTTATTTTTTTTTTTTTTTTTTTTTCAACATTGACATATACACCCTATATATCATTTTTTTTTTGTTTTTAACTTTTTCTCACTTGTTCCAAGGCGGCCCAACATTTCGGAAAAAACCACATTGGGAAATCCAATTAAAAAGAGCAGGAAGGGAATGTATTTTTTTTTTTAAGATGGTTGGGGATAGAGAGAGAGTGTTTTTTTTTTGTTTTGATTTGGTTTTTGGGGGTCTTTCCACCAAACCCGCCAAAAAAAAGGATGCAAATATGTAGTGCTAACACCAAGGAACCAACAAAACAAAACAAGAAAAAAAAAAATAGTCCACCCACCCCTCCACCTTGTAGTTTGTGGAAATTGAACCAATAAAAAAACAACATTTTCCCCTCCAACTTAAAAGCGAAGCCACCACATCCTCGCTCACTCAATAGCTATAGTAGAAAGGCGATGCTTTACTAAAAAAACGCAACGGTCGCCAAGAAGCTCAAGGTTTGGTACCCGTAAGGGTGGCGCAAGTGAACTGCAGCACTCAACAACAAGGAACATTATCTCGATTGTGATAAATTCGTAGCACCTAATATTCGACTTTACCTAGATATAGCTGCAGGGCAATGTCGCTTGTCTTTTTACCACAATGGTCTACATTGCTCATGATCAGTGTTTTTTAGTGCACACGTCAGTTGTTTTATTTGTGGTTTCTTTTCGCCCATACTTTCCAGCTCTCACATTACTCGAAACATTGCGTCACTGAAGCCAGACTGTTGCTGTCAAATAATTTCAAGTTAGCGGGCAATCGACGATGGCGGTATAAAATTGCAAATAGCGCGACATCTGTAGTGTAACGGGGTAGCCCGTTACATGATATTGTCATTAAGAAGAAAATGACAATAAAGAATATTACGTTGAATATTCTTTCAACAATATCACAGAGCATGATGATATTGTTGAAGATGACCGAAGGGTCTACTCATTGGTTGATATCGTGATGATATCAACCCACCAATCGCTGCTAGACGCGCGCAATGGGTGGTGAGTAGACGTCACCATACATTTAGTTACATTAGTATAATTAAGTCAGGACAAACAGAGATACAAGAGTTATAGGACTTAATTATATTAATAACAGTTTTACTTTTTCTACGACTAGAGTCTTTCACCTTAGTCGTTCTACCTTCCTCTGTGTAGTTCTACACCTAGCTGGGCACTGACTATCACTACAGTCAGTGATAGTAAACTCCGTACTGGTTGACCAGTACGTAGTTGTCGGTGCCCCGTTACACCTGGTAGCACTTTGTAGTCCGTCCAAGGACCACACTCGCATCGCCCAACATGAACATGTTGGACGAAGTCGAAGGCGACAGATTTCACGGAACCCGTGAAAGCTACTCCCATTTGAGCGATATCGAATGGAGTGCGATCGAACGAATGAGTTCGACCGTTGGCGAAGAAGCTATCTGGGCCATGCTATCCACAAGGGATAGAGACCAGCAGCATTCCGTCATTAGCAAGTTCTTGCAACGAGAACTTGATGAGTCGCGAGCGCAGGTGACCTTGTTGCAACAACAAGATCACCAGCGGAACGAAGAACTGAGGCAGTCTCAGTCCGCGCAGTCGACACGGGAGCGTCGACCGGGGTCTCTAAAGCTAGAGATCTCCAAGTATCACGGAGTCGAGGACGACTCCCTGTTAAGATGGTTCGTCGAAGTCGACGATGCCATCGAGGCCCGTCGCATCGACGATGAGCGAATGCAAGTTGCATTCGCTCAGTCGTACTTGGCAGGGGACGCCAGGAATTGGGCCCTGAATCTCAAGTTGCACGACCCAAACGTGTTTGGGTCGTTGATGGATCTTCAAGACCCTGCTCAGCGAGACGTTTGAGCCTCCCAGGGCAGAGTTCAGGACACTATCTGAACTCCTCGAAATCAAACAGGGTAAGCGTAAGGTTCACGCTTACGCTCAGCATGTACGCTACCTTGCAAGCTGCATGGTAGTGAACCCTGTGAGTGAATTTGTGTTGATCACAATATTCATTCAAGGGCTGTCCGATGGTCCCGTCAGGGACCACCTGTTCCGCGGAGAGCTAAAGACGCTCTCCGAAGCAATCTTCGCTGCGGAGCAGGAAGACTTTAGTGTGAGACAGGCTCACACTACGCTGACCCCCTTTCGTCCGCAGAGACGATCAGCGGTCGGAGGTCCAGAGCCAATGGACCTCTGTAATGTCGAGGGCGAGAAACCTCGCCCTGCGAATGACAAGCGATCGGTGAGATGCCATCGCTGTCATAAACTGGGACACTACGCATATGAATGCAGTATCCCCCGCTCAGTACCTCGCGGTGCTGAGCGCAGTAATCGTCCACCAGTAAGAAGAACTGGAGGGCGAGGGTCCGATGCTGTTGCAAAGCCGCAACAGCGAGACCAACCATCAAAAAATGGTCGGGGTCAGTAGGGGCGGAGCGCCCTACTGATCCAGCAACATCAAGAGAATTTGCAAATCTCTTGACGAAGGTTGCTCCCGACACGCAGTCCCTGTGTGTCTCTGCACTTGGTGATGACGTTTCTCTCATCACCTTGATATTGGAAGTGACAAAGGACTTGTCACTTCGCGCCCTAGTTGACTGTGGGGCGTCGAACAATTTTGTTCGTCGCCAGTCGCTAGAGGCAGGAAGTTTCAACTTCGTGGAGCGGGAGATCCCTCCAACGAGAATGACGGTGCGCCTAGCGACAGGCGCATCGATCACTGTGAAGAAACGTGTAGTCGGAATCCACTACACGTTAAAAGATGAACAGTACGATGATGATTTCATCGTACTCGACCTGGATGACAAGTTTGATGTCATCCTAGGACTACCTTGGCTCAGGAGATACGAGCCAAGGGTGAGCTGGCAGCATCGATCAGTTACGATACCTGCCACTTGTTCCTCAGATGACGATCTGAAGAATGTCTTGGAACGCCCACATTTACGTGGGTGTACTACGAGCGAGTGCGATGGCCTCACTCGTGGTACGGTCGTTAGCACGACTGTACAAGAACACAATGTAGATGATCACTACATTGTGGAGAAAGCTCTCCTGGACCCTGTGGATGTGACTTCCCAGGAAGTAATCGAGACAGTGAATGTCTTGGTTAATGATGGATCAAGCGTAGGCGCTTACACGCTTGATCTGGTTGTGCCTCCGAAACTAACTTCGGAGATAACTCAATTGCCAACGCTAGAACCGAAACGGTTCTTGCGTGATCTGCGCAGTGGCAAAGTCAAGCAGATCTGTGTACTCGTCGCGGAGGACGAGTACGTTACCGATATTTGATCGGCAACGGTGTTTACTGAGACCGAGAGGGTTCTCAGCAGTTCATCGATGGACGAAAGCGTCATCGATGAGAAGACTCGGATTGAGAGATATGAATCTCAATCCTGGAAGTCGCTTCAGGCAAATCCTTTGTATAAGGATTTGATCGAATTCAAGGATGTATTCCCTGAATCCGTGCCTTGCGAGTTGCCTAAGGACAAAGGCACTCGACACGAGATCGAGCTCAAGCCGGGCTCGAAGTACTGTGTCATGAAGCAGTGGCCACTGCCTCGTGAACAGGTGCTAGCGATCGACAAGTTCTTTGCCGATCGCTTAGCAGCGGGCCATGTGAGGGAATCAACTTCCCCTCACAGCTCTCCGACCTTCTGTGTGCGAAAGGCCACAGGAGGATGGCGGATAGTGCACGCATTCAACAAGTTGAATGCTGCAACGGTACCGGCTCAGACGCCGATACCGAGGAAGGACGTAATCATAGATGGTATGTCAAAGAGTACCATCTTCTCGTCCATGGATCTGATGGACGGATTCTATCAGATCCTCATGCGTGAACGGGACATCCCGTACACAGCAGTGAGCACCCCCAGCGGTATGCTGTGGGAGTGGCTAGTGATGCCACAGGGGCTGAGTAATGCCCCTGCAACATTCAACAGATGTGTTACAAATCTGTTGAGACCGGTGCGAGACTTCGCACCGAGTTACTTCGACGATGTGTTCGTCCATAGCCGGGCTATG